AATGCCAGCTATGCACAGAGCAAGTCGAGTTCCTGGGGTACCTCCTAGACCGACATGGCATCCACCCAACCGGAAGCAAAATCAAAGCCATAAAGGAAGCCCCCAGACCCAAGAACAAAACAGAGCTGCAGGCATTTCTGGGACTGCTAAATTTTTACAATGTGTTCTTGCCCCAAAAGGCGACCGCGGCGGAGCCCTTGCATAGGCTCCTGGACAGGACGGCCAAATGGACCTGGGGGAAACGGGAGGACACCGCATTCAAGAACACCAAAGACCTGCTCACCTCGGATGCCGTCCTCATTCAGTATAATGAGACCCTACCCATCGCCGTCACATGCGACGCCTCACCATTTGGCGTCGGCGCCGTCCTCAGCCATACACTTCCGGACGGAAAAGAAGCACCCATCGCTTTCTTTTCGAGAACACTCAGCAAACCCGAAAGAAACTACAGCCAATTAGACAAGGAGGCACTGGCCATCGTCGCAGCAGTAAAGAAGTTCCACGAGTACCTCTACGGCCGCCGATTCACCCTCATCACGGACCACAAGCCACTGCTGGGCATCCTGGCGGGGAACAAGGCCACCCCGAACATCCTATCCCCCAGGATGACAAGGTGGTCCGAGTTCCTCGCCGCCTACGACTACCGGCTCACACACAGACCCGGCAAGACGATCTCCCATGCAGACGCGCTGAGCCGCTCGCCGCTTCCCGACCTAGACGACGACCCAGCTCCCACGACGACCACCCTCAGCATAGAGACATTGCCCGATCTACCCATAACCGCGTCAGACATTGCCCGAGAGACTAATAAAGACAAGCGTCTGGCGCGGGTATTACATTGGGTAGAAAAGGGATGGCCAGAGAAAGACAACGATGAAGCATTCAGGACATTCCGAAACCGGCAAACAGAACTGTCACTACAGAAAGGTTGTTTGCTATGGGGGGACAGGGTGGTCATACCGGAAAAATTGCAAGGGAAAGTATTAAAATTATTACACGAAGGGCACCCGGGGATTGTGAGAACTAAAGCTTTGGCCAGAAGCTATGCTTGGTGGCCAGGTATGGACAAGGAGATCGAGGCCTGGGTAGCCAAGTGCTCGCGCTGCCAAGAAACCAGACCGAATCCCCCCGCAGCACCAATATTAGAATGGGAAACGCCCAGGGGGCCATGGTCGAGACTCCATATAGATTTTGCCGGGCCCACAAAAGGGAACACATTCCTCATCACGGTGGATGCTTACTCCAACTGGCTGGAGGTAAGCAACATGAAGACCACCACAACAGATGCGGTAACCAAGGTCTTAAACAAGCTTTTCGCAACCCACGGCCTCCCGGATGTCATCGTGTCAGACAACGGACCCCAGTTCACCTCGCTGGAATTCGAAAAATTCCTAGCGGAACGAGGCATACGACACGCACTGACAGCGACGGCGCATCCGGCGGCCAATGGGAGGGCAGAACGGATGGTTCAATTTACAAAGAGAACCCTCCAAAAAATCGAACACGGGGACATACAAGAAAAAATAAATAAAATGCTCCTAATACAACATATAACCCCAAACACAACGACAAACAAAAGCCCGGCAGAATTACTAATGGGGAGAAAACTAAGGTCACCACTCGACAGACTACACCCCACATACAACCCGGAAAAACCCCCGGACTCATCAAGCAAGCACCGGGTTTTTGCACCAGGCGACGCAGTCTATGCAAAAAACCTTACCGGAGACCCACTATGGGTACCGGCAACTATAACCCAACTGACAGGACCCCACTCCTACCGGCTACAGACAACCGATGGACAAACATGGAAACGCCACATCGATCAAATAAGATCAAGAACAAAAAACACAACCGACACGCAACCAAACACAGACAACCCCGTTAACACAAACCAAGAGGGGAGGGAAGATACAGGGGATCAAATAGAAAATAACCAGCAATACTCACCAGTCAACAGCCAGCCCGAAGTCTCACCAGGAAGAAACAGCCAGGCCAGCTCAACCAGCCCGGAAAGACCAGGCAGGAGTGGCGAAAGTCGCAGCTCGACCAACCCGGGTAGACCGGGAGGGAGCTGCAACAAGAGGCCCAGCGACACCTTCCAGGAGGTTCCATCGACAAGGCCAAGAGAAACAGAGGTCCCGACCGAACCGGCCGGGAGCCAAACAACAACTAAGCTGCGCAAGTCAAGTAGACAAGTACGAAGCCCCGCCTACCTACGGGACTACGTTACGTAGGACCGAACCAAGAGGGGAGGGGTGTTCTGTACAAGTCAATTTACATACTCGTAGCCCCGCGTCGCGATTGGCTAAAGCGCGCGGCGACCGGATTGGTCGAGCGAGCCGCACTGATTGGCCCGTTGCGAATCCCCCGCGATTGGTGGAAACTAATCGCGGGAGATTCGAAGCGGTGTCATTGGCCGCGGCCGCCGCGGCTCGGAAATAAAAAGCCGCAGTTTTTCCCTTCAAGCTTAAGCTGTATCCGGAGCCAATAAAGAGCTGAAACTAAGTCACTGACTCCGAGCTTCCTTCCCGCGACGGACACGACACATTCCACCTCAGTCTTTCTGGATTTAAGCCTTGGTACTGAATGAAAATTGCACTGATTGCTCTTGTGAAAGACTTATAGCAGGACTAGGATGGGGGGCGGGGGCTGTATTCCTCCTCCCTCCACTTCCCATATATTAAAATATCTTTTTGGACCACTGCAAGGATTGGAGATTGGGACCTTTTTTTAGAGGTTCTGCTTCTGCATGAGTGGGTGGTTCCAATTAGCACTGTTTGGGTGGGTAGATTGAACCACTGCACACCTCTATGTGAGTTCTGCAACCCTCCCTTTCTGCAGCAAGTCATCATGGGGAGGTATAGTAAGTAAGCTGAAGATAGCTACCTGAAAATTTCTATCCCAAGCCAAGCAGGAGGTGAAGTGCAAGTTTTGATCTGGTTGTTTGAGTCTGGGGCAGGTTGGATGGGATTGGACAGGCTCAGAAAGAATCCCATCAGAATAGAGCTACTAGGCTGACTCTATCTTTAGTTTATGACTGAGTAAGATTCTCACTGAAGGACCATGCATGCAATCTGGATATCCTAGCCAGCTTCAGCTGGTTCACCATTTGCAACCTTTCCTGGACTAACAATTCTTGGCTACCAAGATTTATGCCCTTGCACTTTCTTGGTTAGATTATTGCAATTTACTTTATATGGACACAATGGAAATTATACCTGGTAAAGAGGATGGCTTATTTTTATTTATTTGTCAAGCAAGTATTAGGTAACAGGTATAAGTGTAAGCATGGTTATGAATACATGGATACATATAAGAAAAATAAAAGAAACAATAGGACAGGGACGGTAGACACGTTGGTGCACTTATGCACGCCCCCTACAGACCTCTTAGGAAAGAGGTGAGGTCAATAGTAGACAGTCTAAGGTTAAAGTTTTTGGGGTTTGGGGAAGAAACCACAGTCAGGTAGAGTATTCCAGACACTGACCACTCTGTTGCTGAAGTCGTAGTTCCTGCAATCAAGTTAGGTGCAGTTTACCTTGAGTTTGTGTACTCTTGTATTGTTACTGACGATGGAACTTGGTACAGCGAAGATACGTATTTATTTCCCACTTTAATCATTTTTACAAATAACACAAGGCAGTAAACATATCCAACACATCTTCCTCCTCCTATTTTCCCCACAACAACCTGTGAGTTGGGTTGGACTGAGGTCACCCAACTGACATTCACACGCCTAAGGCGGGACTTGAATTGACAATCTTCCGCTTTCTAGCTGGTGAACTAAACTGGCTCTCATTAAATCAGATATTGTAACTGTATTGGTTGCTTAGAGGCTTCTGAGACTAATTCAAAGTACTAGTTGTTTCCTATAAAAAGCTTTGATTCTAGTCCTCATTATCTTTAGGACCATGGCTCCAACTATAATCTGCCTGTGCAATACGTGCTAAGAGGACATGTGCCACATTTCTACCCCTAGGGGTAAGGGAAGGACCTGGCTTTTTCTGATACATTTCCTTCACTCTAGAACAATTTGCCTCCAAGGTTAAAATGGCCTGGTGTTGTTCTTCTTGAAAGCAGTGCAACAGAGTAGTATAGTACTTGGAAAGGAAAGGGATCCATAACAATGGCAGCCCCTAATTGAGAGAGTGGCTGCTGGGGTGGCTTATTTGATACTGTTTAAATATTGTCTGTTTTGTGGCTTTCCAGGTGATTTATTCTTGTACTAGTATTAGGAGTTTGCAGCATATAAATATTTGTATAATTGAAATATTTAAAATATTCACAACACAGCTAGGGACAAGTAGTGCTGTTTTGTACACAAAAATCTAGGCTGTCGTTATTAAACCTGCAGTTGGACTTTTATAACAATGATGTAACAGAAAATAGAGATTTCCTCGATGCATTTGCTCTCTATGCATTTGAGATTGATTTCCTGACTTTGATGTTACTCACTGGAACATCTTTTTAGGCATGATGCCCATGATTAATTTCCTATTTTTATCTTTGGATCATGATCATTGTATACAATGTCTCTACATATTCATTGCCCTGTGTGTATATTCAAATGTTCATGTGCATTTTATAGCCCTGTTGTTGTCATCTCTGAATTTTTTATGTAGTAGGTTTAGTCAGATCCCAGAGGATTTTGTGGGGAAAATCGCTCATAGTACTTAGGAAAATAACCTCAGAATATATTCTGAGACGAACTCTCAGAATCTTAGATTTATCACCTTGGCAACTTGAGCCCCCTTCTCAATAATTTTTTTTTTCCCGGGAACTGCTTCCCATCTCCCTGAAATCCAGATGCTCCCTGGAACTTGGAGTCCCACTGGCATTATTTCCCCTTGTCTCGCTGGGCCTCGGAACTACCAAACCCACAATTCCAGGCGTTCTCTCGGCCCTCCGTGGCAGCTTGTATCTTACCCCTTCGCTCATCTTTAATTTACGAGCCGGGAAAAAGAACTACAACTCCCGACAGCGCTTAGAGCTTCACCGGGCCTCCGCCTCTCTCAGCTGGCTTGAAGGCTGTTATTGTTGTTACTAAAAGATTAGTGGACCAGCTGGTTGCTCTCTGGGTAAGAGACGTCTTCGGTACTGGGGAAAAGGGCTTTTCTGTTTTTCTCTCCTCCTTGCTTTATCTTTGTTAAATTGCTCGGAAGCATCAGATTTGGGGTGTATTTAGGGAGGGGGACACCCCTCCCTTCTTCTCTCTTTTGAGTTCAGGAGTTTTTAATCAACTGTACTTCCCGTCGGGACAGGAATCAAAATCCAAAAGGAGGCTTTGGATGCACAGGTTTTCACTTCTCCCGGCATGAAAGGGGAGAGAGAAGTGTACGAAAGGCTTCAGTGGGCCTTGAAAGTCTGAACTTGCAGCACAAAAAGCAGGCAATTGGGAAGAGCACCCGTTGAAAAAGGGAATTTCTAACCCGCTAAGCGTGAAAACCCTAACTTCTGTTTCACATCGACCTCCCCGTTTCCTTTATACAGACAAGCACTGTTCAGTGTTGGGACACCCCAAATCTTTTCTTCCTGTTTTAACTGTTGGAAATATTCGCTGCCTGTGATCTTTCTCTCCTTTCTACTAATTTTCACTTCGGGATCCATTTTGACTCCAAAAGTCTGCCCCCACCCCCTAAACCCTAAACGTAACTGCGACGAAGCTTCGACATTCGTACAATTTGGTGGTTATGCGGGAGAAGGCAGGACGGGATGAGGCTTGTAGATTCTTGCAAGCTTACAGTCATGTTCTTTGTTTGGCTTGAAGCTGCCCAAGTCTTAAGCCGCGAGACGCCAAGAGGACGGCGCCTTTGCAGCAGAAGAGTTACAGTTCTCTTCCCACCCCCAAAAAGGAGAGGTGGGGATGAAGAGCCGTCTCCATTCCCTAAAAGTCCATCAGAAATCTGGGAAGGGAGGGAGGGGGGTTGGTTTTTGCGCATCAGGCCAGCGAGGCGCAGCATTTCTTCCCACGCTTCCGCTCGTCTCTTCCCAGAAGCGGCTCCGCGGTCGCTGGTTTGTTTAGCTGGGCTCCCTTCTCGGTTTCTGATTGGCGTTTGCCTTGGAGAAGCCCCGCTCCGGGGTTCTAGTTGCTCCCGGGGAAAGGAATGTAGCAGCGGTGCTGGGAGGTGCCAGGCTTGGGCTTCGTGCCCACGTAGCTCGTCTGGGTCACGCGGGGGGAAGCGCGTTTCCTTGGCATGCGGCGGAGAGGAGGAGAGACTGTCTAGTGCGGGCAGGCCCGGCTCCACCTGGTTTCATAACAGTCCTCTCTTGTGAGGGAGGTTTGCCACGTCCGAGCTCTCTCTCCCCCACCCCCCACTTAGTTTACACTAGTCATATGGAAGCCCAAGAGGTCTTCAGAAGAACGCCCTTATTTATCTGAAAGGGGGGGGGGGAATCTGAACCTTTTAAGATTCCTCCGTCCCTCCGAAGGTTAGATAGAAAAATCTCTTCTCCCTTTACTGTATTCTCAGCCTATGTAAGATCATCCCCCATTGTAAATATAAGTTACCTGCAAGGACAGCAGGAGGGTTGGTCTTTTCAGCTGAATACTGCCGCTGAGGAGGTTGACACTGAACTCTTCCTTTTGCCCGTTGAAATAATACAAGAATCTGAACATAAGGTTGAGGAAAGGTAGAAAGAAGCACCACTGAGGCATTTCCAAACGAGGCATTGGTTGTCACAAGATGTCATGATACCTAGTAACTTGAAAAGGCAATTAGGTTCAGGGAAGGTAATCATGAGTAGTTAGGAAAAACACCTCCAGGCGGAGATTAATGTTAACATTCAAGAAAGACAGCAAGTAACAATGAAACTGAGCCACCTAGAGTTGCATATGTGGGATGGGCAGCTGTACAAATTGAACTAATAAAAATGGAATAATAGAACCGATAAAAGGATCAGTGGGCCCAAGTCATTATCATTGAATGTCAAAAATGCCAATGTGAATAAATGTGAATTAAAATGATTTTTCATTATGCATCTTGACTTTAATAACAGGGAAAACCTCTAAAAGAGTGGGCTGTTTCTCAGGATGGGAGTGTGAGCAGAAAAGCCACTCTTGATACCTAATAAATGTGCGTAGGATGCAACAGAACCAACAGCACATTATGCGATCCTCATAGTACCCATTGGATTGGGCAGAATTCTTTGAGAGAAAACAATTATCCTGATAGGGGGTGTACACACACATATGCCCTGTCTATCATATACATACATGCATACATACATACATACACACACACACACACACAAATAATTTTAATATTATTTGCTTTCAAAGCAAGCAGTATTACGCAAAGTCCAGAAAAGGAATAAGCTGCAAACCAAATAAATTGAAAACATGAGATAAGAAAGAGGTAAATAACTGCAGATCTCTCTGTCTTACAAAGCACCTTTGTTTTCGCCATATCCATACAATGCTTGGTTCATTGTGTACATGCATTGTGTACTCTTACATCTCTCATCTCTTACCAGCTCTATCCAAATAACAGCTTTCTGGGTCTTCCCCTTCTCAACTCATTCTTCCTATATTAGTTTTTAATTTGATTCACATTCATTTTTTCTATATAACCAAGCTACCACAATGTACTTCTTTCATACTGGTCACTTATTTTTGTATTTAGTCCACATTCATTCGTCACCTGTTTATTTTGACCCCTTATCTTTTAGTCATGTTTTCCTATACTGTACATGCTTCTTCAGGAAGTCGAATTCCCACAACATTAAACTTTTGTGTTTCTCCTCACCTGCCCTTCTCACTTTGGTGTTACTAAAATATTCCTAGGCCTGCCATTTTGTAGGTCAGGAAATTTCTGTAAATCATTTGGTATAGTAGTTAGCAATATGGCATCATTTGCATACCGGTCTATATATATTTCACATCCTCAACTAACATACTCCTGATGTCATCACATGCATTATTTATACATTTGTCCACAAATGTAATCAACCATTTTGTCTTAATCCATGCTCAATGTTGAATAAGTATTTCATATATTCTTCTATATTATTAGATGTTTTACTTTATAATTGAAGCCTATTTATTGTATCATACACTTTCTCTCAATCATCCATGGGCATTCTCATTTTTTTTTCTGTTTCAGACTTACATCACATATGCCTGGTTGATTTACAAGGAGTTTACTGGTGAGTAGTTTTGCAGTAAATAACAAAAGCACAGTGTGGCCAGTGCAAGTGCATGCAATGCTCCAGAAAATATAGGGAAGCATGGCCTTGCTCATGGCTGCTCAGATTACAGCTCATCTTGGGACTGGATTTTACCAGGGTTTGACCTTCATCACCTGACTTCTTCAGCACCTGTTCCCACTGATTTTTCTGCTGATTCAGCCTTAGGTAACTGATTATCCACTGACTTCTGAGGCTGGCACTCCAATGACTCACACCTCTCTGCCCAAAACACATTCACACAATTCTGAATGACCTATCAAAGAGCAAAACATTGATCTATATGCCACCTGCAATGCATAAAGCTACATTGCATTTACAAATTTTTCTCAATGACATTTCTCATATCTTTTCATTTAGAATTTTACTAAATGCCTTGCCCAGGCACGCTTAACAACTAATCCCCTTTACATCTTACAACCTATTTATGATATTTATTTACTACTACAATCTGATATGAACTATAAGTGAGTGATGAAAATAATAAAAAAATTCTGGCACACAAATTTCGGCACTGATGGCTCCATACGTATCAGTTCATACATGTTTTCTGGAAGAGAAAAAAGTTTTTATAGAAAAGCATGAAATATCTCCTGTTACACCATCTACAGCAGTGGTGTCCAACCTTTTTTGTACCATGGACCGGTACAATCCACGGACCGATCCACGGACCGGTACCGGCATCAGCACGCAAGACCAAGGCAAGGCGAGCCGAGCGACCGGCCAGCCAGCCGTCCCCCGCTTCTCCCCGCCACCTTCAACTCCTCCTTTGTACCTTCTCGCGGTCGATGGGCTTTTCGGGCTCTTTCTTAATCTCCTCCTGAGTAACGCGAGACTCCACCGCCATCGGGACGGCTCTTCGTTCGAAGCCCCCCCCTTTGACGAAACTAAGGCGCGAGGATTCCTTCAGCACCCAAACGCCGCTTTCCAACCGACGACCGACAAGCTCACCCAGAAGCACTTTCTCAAGCGCCATCAAAACAAGATGGCGGCGCCCAAGCATGCGGCCTGGTACAAAATGATCCACGGACCGCTACCGGTCCGGGGACCGGTGGTTGGGGACCCCTGATCTACAGTTGCAGTTTTATCATTTTTAATACTTTCTCAGTCATATGATTTCTTTTTCCCTGTTTTTTAAAACATAGATTGTATCTATATCAATTCAATTCTGCAACATATTACCCTTTTCGCTTAAGTCTGGCAAATATCCCTTCCAGTATTTTCTCACTTCAGTTTCTTCCCAAATTAATTCTTAATCTCAGTCATTCAGTTGTAGGCCCTTTGTTTAGCATTTTTTATTCCTTTTCAAAAGACTATATTTTTAAATCAAAATTATTCTGCATTTCTTCTTACTCTTAACCATGTCTAGCCTTCTTTGGATATATTCTTTGCACTATCTGATTTTCTGCATATGCATTATACAGCATATTTCTTTCATCTTCATTTTTGCAGCAATCACTCTCTTGTAAGTGGTTTTTCCGAAACACAACCTCCTTTATGTCATAATTTTACCAGGTACTTCTTCATACTAATGTTAGCATAACTCCACCTGCTTCCATGATGCAGTACTCAGCAACAAATTTATTTTAAAGGACACTCCACATTCCTTACATCCAGATTCTGTTCATTCTACTGGGAAATTGATCAGTCTTCTAATACTTTTTCATAATGGATGCTACATTCTCTTCCTACTGTCTTATTTTCCACTCTTATTTCTTTCCCTTCTTTCATTGTTTTCCATATCTATTTTTCATCAAAATCTACTTTTAACTCTACCCCAAAAATGCCTGTCCCGCATCCTGAATCCCTCATCACCCTTGTATCCTTCACTAATTTTCTCTCAATCCTTCATCATAATTGAATAATGTTTTAAGATTTATATTCATTTCCTGGATGTATAAACACAATTATGTTTAACACTTTCATTTGAAACAAGCTTATGCATTCAAAAGCAAATATGTTTAGTCCTTTTTCTAAGCAGCCATTTTCCAAGATCACCATTCTTCTCTGAAGTGCACCATCCTTTTTTCTGTATTTTTTTCTTTTTCTGCCCAAAACATTAATGTCACCTAATGGAATGCTTTCTTTCCCCCTTCGTTACTTTAAATCTGAATATTGCACAGGTTTTATTCAAATTCATCTTTAGTCCTTCCATTATCATAATTCATTGGAGCATAATATGCAATTGTCACTAAACTCTGAAGTTTTACTTACATATGAAACCTGTAACATCCTAAATAGCACTATTTCGTACTTTCTGACATATGTTTAGCTCTTTCATTCATAATTAACCTACACTTTTACTTGCATTTATTCATTACTCTATTCCACAGACCACTTCCTTATTCAGATCTATTGCATCCTTCCCCTTCCTTAAGTTTCACAGATATACACCATATATTGCTCCTTCCTTTTTATCATTCATTCGTGTTCCTTAACATGTATCCCTTTACAGTCTGAGTTGCATTCTTCCTTTGTCATGGCCATCTACCCAATTTGTAGCTGTGACTTCTACTACTATGGCTTTGTACAACTTTGCACAACTATGGCTTTGGCACAATATTTTTATTATATTTGACATAATGATTTTAGTAAATTTCACCTAAGATGTTAGCTTTAATCATATTTGTGCTACATGCAGCATTCTCTGCTAACAGTAATGACAGTATGGTACCAGTTAGTTTTGACACATTATGATTTTACCTCATAAACACAACCAACATTTTTTTCATCTCAAACATGCCCAGACTATTAATACAAGCTCAAATCTCTAGTCCAGAGAGTACTTTGCAAATCAACATATTGTTGTCTGCATTCCACCAACTACAATGCAGTGTACTGATCTACAAACAGGAAGTATTTTCAAGTGCCTTATTTATTAAAATTATATAGATTTCCCAATTTTGAGGCCTCCTGATTTTCTAAAACTACAATTTCTACCACTTCTAGCCAGCTTTTTGAACTATTCTGAAACTTCTGGAGGCATATATGCTAACCACAAACACCAGATATCTACTCTGAATGCTAGTTGCCAGGAATTACAGCTGTCTTGTCATTACACGTTCTGATTTGGCTTCTTTCAAGCTCATTTCTTGCTTCAGATGGGGCGAGATATGTAGCTGGTTTCATCCAGGATGATTCCTCTTAATGCTCCAGAATTAATATAGAAAAAGCTAAACAGAGTCAGGTCCACAAAGTTGTGGGCATACAGACAGGAGAATTACATTCTCCTATATCTAGGTGATAAATTCATTTCTCTGACAATAGCATATTGTTCAGATAAACAATCCCTAATCTTAAAGTACGGCCTCACTGGGAAAAGCCAAGGTTGTTATTCTTGTTTCTGCTTCCAAACTTTTATAACTGAATGCTTCTGGAAACTTGGGGTATGGAAGGTTCACTGTTTATATACATGGATGTTCCAGTTTGTTTTATGTGTTTGATCTTGTGGTTTACCTACACACCAAGAAAAGCCCCCATCCCCAATTTGGAGTTTATCCTATGTTTATAACCTTTAATCTCTTTGAGGGAAGGGGGCAGTTTAGAAATGTAAAATATAAATGGATGGATGAATAAATAAATAAATAGATTTATTTATTTATTTATCTCATCCGCTCCAGTCAGGATTTGCTGGGATAACGATGATGCATGTTTGCATGCCAGGTAGGCTGATTTAATCTTTTTCTTAAAGTAGCAGCCATTGCGTTGCCTAGAGAAATTAATTTCACAAGTGGGTCTTGATGGAGACCACAGTTGGGATTATGGGTGGATTAGTCACGAAGGCTATAGCTCGGTTTGGCTTTCCTGGCGCTCCCATTAGCCAGATGTCTGTCCAGGTGCTCAGCCTGTGAGCTCATATGCTCTAGCCCTGTGTTTCCTGCCTCGAGCTGAGAGTGGCTTCGATGGCCTAAAATGAGGGTGAGCAGAAGGTAGATTTGGCTCTGCCGGTAGACCTCTTAACTTGAAGTAGAGTACCAAAAATTTCCCAACTCCTGACTGGGCAACAACAACAATAGTTTTCTGCTGTCATAAAACCAGGCTGCTGAAACAAAGGAAGTTGCACGGAAGTGGATTTTGTATAAGCAAAATTAATTCTAATGCAGTCGTGTCCTGGATCTGGCATGGTGCTGAGAAACATTTATTTTTTGTGTACTTCATGCCTATCCCCACCATAATTTTGAACCTCTAGTCACTGGATTTGGGAACCTTGTTAAAAAAAAAAAAAAGAGTATATCCAATACGTCTGAAATCTTATTTTTCCTGCCACCTCATTCATTCCTACTGACCTATAAAGCCAGTCATGTATTTCAAATGTACATGTCTTAAACACAAAGGTGTGTGTGTGTGTGTGTGTGTTCAAACTTCCTTCCATATTTGTGATGGAGCTACGCTTTCTCCTTTTGGGGGGTGGAACACACACACACACACACACACCAGTATATCCACAGTGAAGTGCTCTGCTGTACTACAGAGTGGCAAATTGTCACATTAGGCCTGCTTGCTCCTAGATCTCCTGGGTTAAAGGAGGAGAAGGATTGTCAGACGCAGTTATACAACGCTAGTTGCCATTACAGTTTCATGGCCAAACTTGTTAATACTTGCTGTGACCCTTTGCTTCTGTTGTAAATGCCAGAAACAAGCAGCTATTATCTAGGCCACATCCCATTGTGAGGGGCTGATCCCTTTGCCTTGTTGATAGCAAATCTTTCTCATCCGGTCCTTGTAATATTATAGTGCTAAAATGCCAGGGCCACAGCTTGGTTGGCCTTTAAACAGATCTGCCCTTCAACGTGAGGTTCCAACAAAAAGTTTCATTTCCACTAAACCCTACATTAAAAAAAGCCTTGAAATTACATTGCAAGTGTATATTGAAAGACATAGGGGAAAAAAGGTCTTTTTAAAGCACTTTGTAAGGTTATGAACTGCTTGGGAAAAGCAACATCCTTTCTTGCCATATGTTGGTCTCTTAAGAAAAGTTTTCACAGATTCAGGATGCCCTATAACGAAGAAAGGTTTGCCTCTGAGTGCCTCTCACTTCATTTTTGATCCCAGTAACAAACTTGAAGGAAGATCTTTCATGCATGCTACGTTCTGGTCCAACCAAAGCTTAAATTTATTGCCTGATGCCTTCATTTATTCACTTCCTAAGTTAGTTCAGCATATTCCATTCACATTTCTGCAGGATTCTGCTTCTTCTGTTGATTTCTCTATGAAGGAAAGCCTTATGATTTTCCATAATTTATTTAGAAGTCAGATGGGATTGAGACCTGTGCTGTGATTTCCCACCGAGATCATGGTAGGTGCGGGTGGGCAAATTAGGTCTCTCTGTCGCTCCTTTTGAAACAGATATTGTACAAAAGCAGCAATAAGCAGCCTTTTGAGATGTGCTCATTTTCCTGAAGAGCTCAGTGAACTTCTAACATGCACACACACACACACACACACACACACACACACACACACACAAAAGAGGGGAGACCCAGGTGTAAAAAGTGCTGGATCCTTAAGAGCAATTAAGTTTTGAAATAAAAAACAAAAAACTTTTTCATGTATAAGATGAGGTTATAGAACAAAGATAAAGAACTATTGTGGTCCTTTGGGTGTTATCACAGTGATCCCCAACCTTTCTTATGCCGCGGCCCTGTATCCCCAAACTTTTTTATGGCGCGGCCCGGAAAAGCTCACCGGAAGCACTTTTTCATCAAAAAAAAGATGGCAGCGCCCAGCAAACCAGCGGCCCGGTAGGACTTGTTCCACGGACCGGTACCGGTCCGCGGACCGGTGGTTGGGGACCCCTGTGTTATCAGATTGCAGCTTTTTTTTTTTTAAATCATCCCTGTTCTTTGGCCATGCTGGCTATGCCAGATGAGAGTGGTAACCCTACATATCCAGAAGGCCTTGCGTTAAGTGGAGACTGTTCAAATCTCACTTGTTTTTCCCCTTCCTCCTCTGCAATGAAATCCCATGGCACAGCCTTTCCCAATCAGAAGTGGTATTCAAGAACCGGTAGTGGTGATTTGGCGTTGGATCGCCGAACCAGTAGCAACCCCTGGCTGCTCATGCCCCCGACCGGGTTGCCCGGTCGTTCACTTGCCCCGGTCGCTCTCCTAGCTTTCCCTACCACATGGTGGCCGTGGCGCAGCTCAGGTGGATGTCCCAGGACTGCTGCACATGCGCACTGCGTGTGCAGCTGCTATACATGCAGTGCGCATGTGCAGCAGCCCTGGAACATCCACCTGCCTGCCCGCCCTCGCAGAGCATGTTTTCTTTCTTCTCCTGGCGGACGCGCCTCTTCCAGCCCAGCCAGATGTCCCGGGGCTTCTCACCCCCCTTGTCATGAGAGGCCTGCAGCTGCTGCATGCTTTTTTTCTGTGCGGCTGCAGTCCAGCAGCTGCACTGAAAAAAGCACGCTCTGTTCTATGTGCCGGGCCCAGCAAGTCCGAACCGCCGGCGCAAAGAACAGGGCAGCACCAGACCATTGGAGAAGCAGAGCAAAGCCAGAGATCAGTAGCCGCCTCTTTCTCAGTGCAAGAAGCCTCCCCGAATTGGCCATTTTCGCTGGCAGAGTGCTCAGACCATCACAGGAGGCCCCTGACAAGAGTGACATTGAGCTGGCCACACCTACCCTGACCACGCCCCACCCCCAGCCTCACCCCCCCCCCAGGACAAACACAATCCTGATGCGGCCCTCAATGAAATCAAGTTTGACACCCCTGGTTTAGAGTTTCTTGTTTTTCCTCGTCCCATCTACAGATAGGATTAGCCTGCCTCCATAGATTCTGTGGCTGCTTCCATACATCACATGTAAGCTGCCCAGAGTCATGGATTGAGATGAGTGGCTATAGAAAATGAATAAAGAAATAAAATAAAGTCATGTTGTTCCAGGATCAGTTTTGTGTTCCCTTGTGACCCCACAATAAATGCTCCTATTTAACAACTCGGTCGTTCATTTCTGGCTCAAATGCAGTGCAGCTCAAAACTTATGAGTCCAGTTTTATCCCACGGAAATGCAGAAAAATGGGGAGAAGGGGCGCCACGGGAGGTCCCCCCCCAATCACTGGGTCCTCCTGATGCTTATACTTCATTCAAATATCATTTTAGGGTTCATGGATCAGTGAAATGGCAAGCAGAAGAATGTTGCTAGGGTGGCCTTTCTGTTTAATGAATTTCTTCTACGTTTCTCTAAAGCACCAAATCAGTGGAATTTGGGGAGGTGGGCAGTTTTGCCGCTGTCGTTTGTTATGCTGTCCTCCTGGGGAGAGAGCACTGGTTGCTTATCGGGCTCCTCGGGGTCTTGTGGCAATAAGAATGATGACAAGCTCGGCATGAAAGCGTCCCTGAGGGCTTGGGGAGTGAAAATGATGGCAGATCTACGTTCAGACTTTTTATGCAAACAAGAAAAAGAGGGTTCCGGAGCTTTTCTCTTTCGATTTTATTCTCTTTCCGTCCCTTCTACATCCATCCCCTGAACCGTTGGCTCTCCTGCTGCCTTTCCCTGAACCCTGCAACACTCCCTTTGCTGAAATTATGCCATTGTTCTTACAGCTCTGAACTGCGTTGGCTGACATTTTTTTTTTTTTTTAAAAAAACCCTTTTTTCTCTCTCCTCCTTCTGCTGCTTCTTTCCATCATTAACTTAGACTGTAAGTGCCTTGGGGACAAAGATTTTTCTTTTTTATGTGCCTACTGTATATATGCGCTGCAATGTACCATGTAAACTGACAGTGTGGTATAAATAAATCATTATAACAATCAATAATTAACCGAAGTATCCCAGTGATGGAAATACAATCTGCAAACATTAAGAAGGCCATCCTGGCTCTGTCCCTTCCTCCTGGCTTCCGTCCATGTTCCATTGTACATACACTGCCACTCCTAATGCTTATTCACATTTCCTTTCCTGTCCAAAAAAAAAAATCCCAACAACTCCCCAAAATTGTTAAATGCTCCTTGTTGTTTCAGAAAAAAATATATATATACTTTAGGACCAGAGTATGTGGATTAAACTCATGCATGTGCAGTAAGCAGTTTAATGCAATTACATAATTTAATTTGTGGCTTCCATCTGTAAGCAATACTGTGCAAAAATGCCTGCAAATTTGAGGATAATGCCAGGGAAAATATTTAAGCTGAATGACAAGCGGGTAGATATAGTAAACTCTTCCATATTTACTTTTAATGCGTGCATTTTCGCACATATCCATCCTATCCTTATCTATGCCCAGAAGGAATAGAATTAATTCTGCAGAAATAATAGGAATTTCAGCTTTTTCCTGATTTTTTTTTAAATCTATAGATACTATGTAGATAATAACTACAGGTGTCCTGTTCTCATCCCTGATGAGAAGGTGATAATTTCATGTCCTAAGACAAATTCTTTTTTTCCTTTATCCTGTATTTCTGCTCCAGTTAGCAGTGGCTTTTAAGGGTTTTCAGCAGAAAGAAAGTCTTTCTTCCATTCTGCTACATAAGATGGCAGGGCTTGAGAGGTGGCCTTTGTCAACACTGTTTTGGTGCGTGAAGCTAGCCTTGCTCATATTACAGGTCATGTCCTGAGATGCATTTGCAGGGAAGCCAGTAGAGCAAACCCTATGGGGCAGAAATCTAGGATTCCCATCTTCAAAGAAAGAGCAGAACTAATTAATTAACCAAAGGTGGCCTACCTTATGACATCATAAAGTAAATTAAGTAATACAGGGGTCCCCAACCGCCGGTCCGCGGACCGGTACCGGGCCGCGGAACAAGCCTTACCGGGCCGCTGGTTGCTGGGCACCGCCATCTTTTTTTGGTAAAAAAAGCAATTTTTCGTCAAAAAAGATGGCGGCGCCAGCGCTTCGGGTGAGCTTTTCCGGGTAGAAAGCCATTTCTACCCGAAAAAGCTCACCAGAAGC